CGTCCCTAAGGGCTTTCAGCGTATTTTTCGATGCGTTTTTCTCGATGAAGGATTTTTTTAAACTTTTTCTTTATTTTTAAGTCAATCTACATGCATTTCTGCACATTTTGATGCAATAAAAAATTTCACCGTACACCACCCTTAAGATTGAATTGAAGCTTTTCAATAAAAAGTGAAGAGAAAAACGAGTGGTATTTCAGATTAGAATGTTTCAAACAGTAATGTTTTTCTAGTTGGGGACCCCTCGAACACTTTCAGATTAGTTGGGGACCCCTCGAACTAAAACGTCTTGTAAATCCTAGGTTCCTTTTTTTTCTCAGATTTATGGTCGATGTAAATAGTTCGTGTTTTCTAATTAAATTTTTTCAAAAAAGGTATAGTGAAATAGACAAGACATGTTGCTTTCACCGGAATTCGTAATAATAGTATCACTAGACGACTCATCGATTGCGGAGTATTGCACACCGAAAATATAAATAAAAACAAAAGACTTTGCCGGGGAGGGGAATCGAACCCCTAAAGGATATATATCCACAGGTTCTTAAGGCCCGCGCCTTTGCCACTTGGCTACCCCGGCAACGAAAACAAAGGAAACGGTTCAATGTTATGATGTAAATTTAGAGTGAGCAAGAGGGTTACTGTAGCTGTATTATTTAAAAAATCCCTTTCAAGAATTATTTTTTTGTAAAATTAATTCGGAAATTTAATAGGAAACACTACAGAGACTTTTACCTTCAAAAAAAATTTTTTTTGAAGAGCCCAGAAATTTAAAGTGTCGGAAATCGAGGAAGTCTAGATTTGGAGACTCAAAAACTTAAAAATTTGGGAGTTTAAAATATCTTACGGTTGCAAATCAGAATAGAACTAAAGTTCTAGAATTTTAGGTTTTCGAATTGCTGAATTTCTGAATCCAATTCTTTGAATTCGGGCTTTCACATTTGCGAATTTCTGTTCAGAATTTTCGAAATTCAGAAGTTATTCCGAAAATTCGATGAATAATTAAAATATAATGATGATTATAATCAACTGATTAAAACCAAATTTTGGAATCAAGATTACTTGCGATTAAAAGAAATAAGAATTTTTGCCAAATCGCAGTTCTCCATTGGTTTGATATCCTTGCTGAAAATTTTAGTATTCTCCAAAAAGTTTAGTTTTCTAAAATCAACTCTTTTTCCTGAATACCAAATAATTTATAGTTCAAGTTTCCTAGTCTTTGCCTTTCCATTATGCCCAAATTTTCTGTTTTGGAAAGTTAATAACTTTGATTTGGTGAAGTATACTGTAGTTTCAGAACTTCCTTTAGTACCCTAAATCATTCGGACAATCATTTATAAAAGAATTTTTCTGCATGCTCTCATTTCCGTGTTTTTGCATATTCCTCTTGTTTTTGTGCCCCTATTGCCTGTCATCTGGAAAACATGGAAAACAAGAGACGGAGGAGGTCGTTGGGTGCTCATGGAATGTAATAAAATAAAATGGAGAAAAAAAGAGACAAAAAGTATATATTTTCCTTCCGAATTCTTCTCTTTTTTTCTCATGTGGGTGTTGTTGTGTTTTGCATTTTTCCATCAGCGACTACATAATATTTTTCGTCTGCCAGTATTATTCTGGTACAAAAAATCGTTGCTGTGGGATATAAAAACGTCGGTGGCCGCGGCCGAAGGTCCCACAACGAAATCTACCGCAACCTAAAAATTTTTTAATTTCAGGATTTTTTTCTCGTTTTCCACTGCTTTCCGTCAGGTTATCTGTTATTTTTCGCCCAAAAAGTCGGAAAATAAATTTCGATTTTCAAAAGAGCATTGTTTTCAAAAAAATCAAAAAAGGTTTTTGTAACCGATTCCTTTTTTTGACAGCTAGGTCAATGTTGAAATTTGTCATCAGATGACACAGCAGCCACCACCTTCAAAAAACCATAGAATGAAAAGAACCGGTTGGTTTCGCCACCCACTGACTAACCACAACAAATACGACCGGACAGGTAGAAAAGAATTGAGAATTAAATGTTTAGAAGATGTTAAATTCTGTACTGACTTCTTTTTATTCTTATTCTTGTTTTCCACTATTGTGGTACAAAAAATGAAAGCTATGGAAGAGAAACGCCGGTGTCCGTAGCCGATGGTCCCGCAACGACAACTACAATAACCTAATAATACTTTTATTCTCCGATTTTTTCTCGTTGTTCACTGTTTTTCGTCGAGTTTTCTGTTATTTTTCCTAACAATTCGGAAAATAGAATTTTTCATGGTGAGAAGTTGACGGAAAACAAACGAAAATCGAGGTAATAAATTCTGAAAATGAAAATATTTTTAGGTTACTGTAGTTATCGTTGTGGGACCTTCCACCAGTTTCTCTTCCACAGCCTCAATATTTTTGTACCAGGATAATAAGGGTCAATCCGTTTGCTTTTCAAACAAGATTTTTCATTATCTTTAGAGCGCACTTGTCGTACTTCCATTTTTCAAGTTAGTTTTTTCCTAACCTTTACTCTTTTACAATCCACTTCACTCTCTCTATTGTTATTTCCGTTTGTGTTTCCTGTCTTTTTCTTTTCTCCTCTTTTTCTCTTCATTCATTTATTTTTTTGCCTGTCTGCGATCGATTCTCTTCCATTATCTCTGCGCCAACACCCCGATCGCCTACACCTTCCCGCCAAAATTCCACAGCACTAATTTTTTGAAAATTCAGTGATGTATCAAATTAGCGGGCAGGTCTAGGGCATTGTGTGACTGTCAGGGCTTGATAATACACTGTTTTGTAGCGTTTCCCCCAGTTTTTTCGTGCGTTTTTTTGTTTACTTTTTGTTGAGAGAGACACATATTATGATATTTTTGCTTCCTCTTCTTCTCGCTCTTTGTTTTTTTCGGGAACTTGAAAAATAGCATTTTGAGGTCTTGGATTTCTAAAATAAACAGCTATTCGAGCAGTGCAAAATGGTTCTTTTTGAAAGAAACATTCCAAATACAAGATCTTCTAGCCAGTGAAAGTTCCCATGTGTTACTTAATTATTCCACGAGCTCGATGAAGTTTAAATTTCCGCTCAAGCTGTCATCACGAGACTTCTCCATTTCACCCCTTATCCTTCTTCTTACTTCTTTTTCCTCTTTTTTTTCTCGTGGCTCTACATTTTCTAAAAATCTCATTTTTAGGGTCTCTAACGAGCGAATGCCGAATTCCAGAAAAACGAAGCACGGCGGTAATCAACAACATGTGACGATTGTTCCTGTGGAGCCTGTTAAAGGTAAATATTGGAAAGGAATTCGGAACTTCGAAATTTCTGACCATTTCCAATTTTTTTTCGGAATTATAGATTTTTGGTTTACTGTATGTCAAAGGCGCACGGAATAAGTTTCCTTGTAAGTCTCGAGCGGTATTACCTTTTTTCCGTTTTCGAGAAATCTTTGTCAATTTTTAATTAGTTTTTTTGCGCTTTTCTGATTGAAAAGAGATTATTCCGAAATCTCAAAAATCCGAAGAATTCCGAAAAATCCCATTCATCCCTGCTGTCATGTGAATTAATTTGAAATTTCCAGGAGACAATGTGGACACTGTCGCCTATTCTTCGAGAAGCAGAATCAGTGGAGAGAGTGGACATTTGATAGCTGATGTACAGTCTCCTCATGCGAAAGAGCACCGAATCATTTTCGATAGAGATCACAATGTTTTTGAATTCAGATTGCTCGAGTTCGTTTTTTTAAAGTTGAAGAAAATTAAATCCCGAAATTCCAGTGGCTCATCGAAACATATTATCGTCTATCGACTCGATGAGCTCCTCTCCACAACCTGCTTCCCACTGAAAATCAACAGTGGAGTCCCAGTGATTCCAACGGTACTTTATTCAAATCCTTTTCTTTTTTTACATAATTTTTTCAAGAAACCAGTGACATCTGACAAGACGCTCTACTTCAATTTTGTTTACAAAAAAGACAAGAAGAAGTGGCGACTCAAACAGATTCCGGTCGTTTTCTACACGACAAGCGAGAGAGATTATTGGCATTCTTTGATTGATACCACGTTGCGAAGTAAATAGTTTTCCAGACTGGAAAAAAGAAGTCTTCGAGTTTTTCAGGAGTCAAAAACCGTCCGAAGAACATTATTATCTTCATCAACCCGTATGGAGGAAAAGGAAAAGCACAGAAAATTTTCAAGGATAATGTCGAAGCATTCTTCTGGTTGACTCCTGGATTACGGTACAAGGTGATGCTCACGGAGAGAGCGAATCATGCCAGGGATTTTATTGTGGAAATGCCTCCGGAGCAATGGTGTGCTCTTGATGGATTGGTTAGTTTATAATCCAGCATCAGAAGTCACAAAAATATCAAAAGTGATTCCGCTCGAGACCCGCAAGCAAACTTTTCGCGTGCGCCTTTGAGGTACTGTAGTCAAAACTCTAATTTCGAAAAAAAAATCAGGAAAGGAATTTTCTATTCCGTTCCGAACAGGGATGTTCGGAATGACCTTTTCGGAATTTTTCGAAATGTCGAAAATTCCTACTTGCATTTTTCCATCACAACAACGACGAGAATAGGTGGAAAATTGACAAAAATATTTTTAAAACGCAAAAAATTGAAAGTAATGCTGTTAGCAAGCATTAGTAATGCTGTTAGCAAGCATTTTTTTCGCGACAAACCGTGGTCCAAAGTTCTCTAATTTCGGGAAAACAACAGAATTTTTCCGGCAGAAATTTTCGGATCTGTTCCGGACATCCCTGATCTAGCACAACTAAATCACCGAAAAAGTTTAGGTATCAGTTGGTGGTGACGGTCTATTCAACGAACTGCTCTCCGGTGCTCTTCTTCGCACTCAAAATGACGCTGGACGCAATATCGATGATCCTAATACTTCTCACCTCGTCACTCCTCATATTCGATTCGGTATCATTGGTGCTGGATCCGCCAATTCGATCGTTTCAACCGTCCATGAAACCAATGATCATGCCACCTCAGCAGTTCATATTGCAATTGGATCCGAATGTAATGTAGACGTTTGTACTGTTCATCAACATCAGAAACTAATTCGAATTTCGGCAAATGCGATTTCATACGGATGGTTGGGAGACGTTCTGAGAGATTCTGAAGAGTATCGGTGCTTGGGACCAGTCAGATATCAGTGGAGCGGTTTGTGATACTCAATATTATACCTCACCAATCAAAAAAGGTTTTTAGCTCTCCGAACAACAATACGTCATCCAATCTATCGTGGAATCGTTCAATTCTCATTGTCTCATAAGGAACAGGTAAACCCGAAGGATCAACTACCACCGTGCCTTGAACCATGTCCGGTGTGCAAAAAACCACAGGGGTATTCTTTAGCCTCCCTAAATATCTCTGAATCCCTATAAATTTTTCAGAGATGACAAGTACGACTATCACTGGCATGCTGAATTCACTCATGTCATTTGTTGTGTCATTCCAACAGTCACACCATTCACCCCTCATGGATTGGCTCCATTTACAGGAATCGGCGACGGAACTCTCGACTTGGCACTCGTCCCAAGAATTTCCAGATTCCATAACATGCAATTCATGAGAAAAGTGGCGATGTATGGAGGAAAACAGCTCTACGAACTGGACCCATCACTCAACTGTTATCGTGTCACAAAATGGTCCTATCAACCAGACTCTGATCAGAACGATCCAGGAGTTTGGAATCTTGATGGAGAAATTCTGGAACAACCGAAAGATGAGCCTCTGCATTTCAAACTTCATCCACAGCTGATCTCGTTCTTCGGACGAGACGCCGCGATGGTGAAGCCAACGAAACGGAGCTTTATAAAGAAGAGAAAATCGTCAATCGTTTATCAATGATAACTCTTACAATGCATTTTCTGACATTCTGTATTACCTTGGACCAACTCTTTTTTAGAATACTGCCACTTCAAATCTTGTTGATGCTGTTTCAAATAAACTTTTCTTTTTTTAATTGAAGACTTATCGATGGTTACAAGCTCAAAAATAAAGTTCCAATTCAATTTCCCTTTTTTTTTTGAATACAATTCAAAAAACCGCCATTGTGGGGTAGTCCAACGACACTCCGCATGTTCCGCATGCGCGCGCTGTTTATCGTAAATCGACATTGATCCGAATTAATTTTATTTTTCCCTCAGCCATCAGTATTCATGACGGAGTTACAAGCTTTTGATATGAACCAGCCGCTCGGCTTTCAGCTCCCTGATAAGTCGATTGTAAGTATTCCATCTTCAAAATTGCAAAAATTATACCAAAATCGATAATAAATCCTTTTTTCAGTATCAAATGGGATTCAACCCAACGGCATCTCAGCCTCCTGTTGCTAGTTATGTTCACGAAACGAATCCACTTACGGTTAGTCGAATTTTTCCTTAATTTAATTTAATTTATTGACCAGGTGAATAAAACATTAGAGGGCAGGACATGAAAGACTCAGAAAAGATGCCCCTCACGAGGCCGATCTGAGTAGGGGAGGGGAAACGGGATAATTTAGATATTTGACACAGGAAAGATGTAACCGGTAGAAAAAGAAAAATAGGGAGCAAATATATCAATAACGGGTAATACTGGAAGAAATTAAGGATTCAAACTCGGAAGGTAGGAGAAATCGGGTAACTTGAGAAGTTATGGCGTTCCACAGGGGAACAATTGAAGAAAAATAGTCAGAGGAGAAGGGCTGAACAATAATTAAGTTAATAGGGCGACGAGGGGAGGAGGTGTATTTGACATGTGCATTAAGGTTAGGAAAGTAGGCGGAGCCATTTAAAAATTTATAGAGAAGAATTAGTTGAGCTTCAATTCACTTTATCTCTCATGTTCAGAATCCCCTTCAAATTCTGGATCTTTTAAATCCGCATCAACCAAGTGGAACTACGGATAAAAAGCAAAAACTTCTCTCTGGATTGCTGTCACCTCACTTTGAAAAACAATTGGAAATTGAGAGAAAAATCGATGATTTATCTGATGTTCTTAATCAATTCATCAAGACTCAGCAAGACTTTAATAAAATTCTCCTGGAAAAAGTTTTGGTAAGTTCTTACTTTTGTGCTAGACAGTTTAGAAATTGGTCATTATTTCAGAAACCTCAAGAAACACATTCCTCTCCAATAACGGTATTAGAAGATAACCCAATGGATGAGCAAGAGGCCCCACATATAGAAGAAGTTGATAATATCATTGAGGAAGAAATACAAGCAGAACCTATAGTTAGTCCATTATTAATCAAAATTCCTTCAGAAAGCTAATTTTCAGCAGCAAACAATCAATAATCCCCTGCCAATTTATCCAGTTCCAATCAGTCACGATGTGTCAACTCATTCTCCAATTCGAAATCGTTCGGTTTCACCGGAAAAGATGGAAACTGGAGGAATGTCGGTTAGAGACTTTCTGAAAACTACAATGACAGTTCAAAAAGCGGATGATAAGGTAGCTTTTTATTGGAAAAAATGTATAAGCTTTCTAATTTCTAGATTCTGGAGGAAGAGTTGGAAAGAGAACGGGATGAAGCAGCACAATCCATCAGATACAATAAATTTAGAGTTCGAAACCGTCCCAAGAAATATAAAAGAAGTGCTGTGACATTCACAACTAAAACAAGAGATCTGGCATCACAAGCTACAGTGTCTGCAGAACCTTCAGAACCTCAAGCATCATCCTCCAGCGCGCCAGAGTCGAACCAAATGATAGAGCAATTAGAGCAAACGAATACAGTTGAAATTGAGGATAATATATTCCAGCCAATTTTGATACCGTGTGTACAAAGACCCCCAGAGCTCCTCATGCAACCTGTGTTTCCAACAACGTCTTCTTATGTGCTGGTGAGCGAATAGTTCCCATTTTTGCAATAGTTTTTTTTATTCCAGAACTCCGCTCTCGATCCTTCTAATCACGCGACACAGAACAGTTTAGCTGCGTTGACAGATTCAAAGTAGGGTTTGTTTCCTTTTGTTCAAAATGCAGCATTTTTTTCAGGTTCCAACCGGACCCAACCAATCTATGGAAGACTAACAATGCTACTCAATTATTGGTTGATGTTAGTTTTTCTTGTGTTCAAAAACTTCAAAATGAACAATTTCCAGGCCCCTCTACTCTCTGAAGAGCTACGATTCTCCGAACACTCTCATCATAGCAGTTTTCTACCCTTTGTTGTAAGATCCCTTTTTTAACATTCAAATTTATAAACTTTTCCAGCACGAGCCCGCTCATCGGTCGGCTTTCGTACCTACGGTACCTCAGCAATACAATGTAAGCCAGCTTGTGCAAATAATTTGTTTCAAAACCCAATTTTTCCAGAAAGATCGACGAATTCATCAGCATATGGACACATCACTGACCGATTCTCTACGGAATTTGTAAATATATTATCTCAGCTCAACTCAAACCCTGACTACATGTAATACTAGCAAATATCGTGTACAATAAATTTTATATTTCTAACATCATCTTCAAGATTCTTAGTTTTAGTTGGTACTCTAACAAAACTTATTTTTCCAGATCGTATTACTATACATCGAATAGCTTTTCAGAAGTCTAGTCACAGACCAATGAACGGTAGGATCTCATCATTGCCAACACTTTTGCGGAGAACCATTTCCTTCAAAAGGTTGACACATTTACATTCATTCGGAAAGAATACTTTAAAATATCATCCTTGTCTGAGAAAAAAAGGTTAGAGAGTATTTTTTGCAGTCTGAATACGGTAGCGATATCGAATCGGAGAGCCTAAACAGCACACAAACGGTGGAGACGCAGACACTTTTTCTCTGCGTCTCAACCTTTTTTTTCTCAGACAAGCATAATAATTAAAAAACAGAAACAAGAAATAGTACTTCTACTGCTACTTTTTCAACTGATTCCAAACTGATTATTGTTGTTGCTGGGCTTTGGCGAAACGCTCGCTGACGTTCTTCCAGTTGGCGATCTACAAAACGCAACTTATATCAACATTGCTTTTCTGAAACACTGACCTTCCAGATAGCATTAACGTAGTCTGGGCGAACGTTCTTGTATTGCAAATAGTATGCGTGCTCCCAGACGTCGATTCCGAAGAGTGGAATGAGTCCCGTGGTGGACTCAAGTGGGTCTTGGTTGGCGCAAGTCGCCAACTTCAGCTTCTTTCCCTTTGGACAGTATCCCAACCATCCCCATCCGGATCCTTGAACGGCAATTGTGGAGGCGGAGAGCATCTTTTGGAGGGTGGAAAGGTCTCCGAAATCGCGCTGAAATTATGTCGTTTGTGCGAGGATTATGCCCTAATATTGGATTATGCAAACAACAATGGGCATAATGGAAAGGCAACACAACACACAACACATGGCAATAAGTTAAAAACTGCCACAATTTTCTCACCTTGATCATAGAAGCAAGTTCCGAAGATGGCTCTCCTCCATCCTTGGCCAAGTTGGTCCAGAAGATTGAGTGGTTGATATGACCACCTCCGTTGAACTTGAGAGCGGATTGGAGAGCGATAGCTTCCTTGACGTTTCCCTTTGAAACTGCCTCATGGAGCTTTTCCTCCACTTGATTAAGATTGTTTACATAAGTGGCATGATGCTTTTGGTGATGAAGTTGCATGATTTCATGGCTGATAACTGGCTCCAAATCAGCGTAATCATATGGGAGATCTGGCAAAGTGTGCTTGGAGCGAACGGCGGCGGCTCTAAAAGTGGTTTAAAATGTTTGGAACGATTAAGAGCCAATTTTGAAAAAGAACCTCTAATAATCACTCCAAAACTTCGAACTTACCCAGTGATTGGCTGGACGAGCTTAGAGACGGAACGAGCGGCGGTTTGAAGCATTCTTACGACTGAAAAAAAGAGAAGAACTGACTGAAGGGATTGGTCTTTTCGTTTAGGCAACAGAATGACAAAAACAGATGTGTGGCCAGCAAAGAAGTGACCAAAAAACACAAAACTGCAGCAAGATAAACAGGCGAACGGGAATTTTGCTTGCGCGTAAACAAGGTCCGCAAAACAACAGTCGGTGTTTGCGGACGAGAAGCAACGAGGTCTACGCTCGAAAAATATAATTTTAAACCGGAATTGTCACCAAATCTGTGTGAAAACCCTTCATTTTTCTTAAATTTTGCTTGAAATTAGTGCGTTCTATCAACAATTCTTTGTTTCCAGGTTCGTCTATACCTCAAACTTCTCTTTCCGCTACGCTACTTCTCAAATAATGCCGGTTGATCGCAGCCTACATATCATCCCGAACGATTCTCCGGTCTGCCAACTGGATGCTGAGAATGCGTTCAAGACTTTATCCGAAAAAGAAAGAAAATACGCGCATTACGTTGCGAAAGCTTCGTTCGACGGAGCGCTAGCAGTTTTCCTTCAAGTATCCCCTGAGTCTGCGCCAATCTTCTATGTTCTCTACAGATTATTCAAGGCGGAGACTGTGGAGCAGTTGAAGGGTATGGAATCACTTTTCCATTTATAAAAACACTAATTTTGGATTTTCAGAGAAAGCTCTCGCCGTTGGTTTCAGCGAGGACGAGTGGCAGGCATTGCTCATTTACGCCGCTGCCTTCTACTCCAACTCTGGAAACTACAAAGGGTTCGGAGATAGCAAGATTGTTCCTGCAGTCGATCAAGTAAGATTGATCTGTTGAGAAAGAATAATATAATATCGGTTCAGAAGAAAATTCGTGCTCTTATCGAAAAGTCAGCCGCGGGCAGTGACGAGAAAGTTTTGAAGACGTGGGAGTCGGTCGAGAAATTAATTGGATCGTTGGAAGACAAGGAGTTGCAACTCGGATTTGGAGATAAGGGAGTGACCTGCTATCACTCTTCGAACATTACAAAGGCTGATGCAGAGAAGATTGATCGATTTTTCAAAGCCAGAAATGTAGAGTCATGGAACTCGCGTCTGTTCAAAGAAGTTGGAGCTGATGGAAAGACAACTTATACTATCAAACTGGCTTCGTCTGATGAGGGTGTGGTCGCTGAAGCTGTTGAGTTCGAAGGGGACGTAGTTCAAATTGTCAAAGGAGATTATGCACCGGTTATGAAGAGAACTCATGAATGGCTGGATAAAGCTGTTCCATTTGCTGCCAATAAGAACCAAGAGGAGATGCTGAAGAAGTACATTGAGCACTTTAAAAATGGTGATATCAACGCACACAAAGATGGATCGCGGTACTGGATTAAGGATGCTGGACCGGCTGTTGAGAGTTACATTGGATTCATTGAGAACTACAGAGACCCAGCTGGTACTCGATCGGAGTTCGAAGGATTTGTGGCTGCTGTTAACAAAGAAACCTCAAAGAAGTTCTTGACCCTTGTTTCAAGAGCTGAAGAGATTCTTAAGCGGTTACCATGGGGACCAGACTACGAGAAGGACACATTCCTCAAGCCAGACTTCACGGCTCTTGATGTTATTGCTTTCGGAAGCAGTGGAATTCCAGCGGGTATCAACATTCCAAATTGTAAGTTTTTAAAATCAGTATGAATCATCGAGAGTTGGTTTTTCAGACGATGATATTCGCCAAAACGAAGGATTCAAAAACGTTTCTCTTGGCAATGTCATCTCCGCTCAACCGAAGCAGAAGATGAACTTCTTGGACGAGCACGACGAAGAGCTCATGTTCAAGTTCCATAAAGACTCATTCGAAGTTCAAGTTGGCCTTCACGAACTTCTCGGGCATGGCTCCGGAAAACTATTCCAGAAAAATGTTGATGGAAGTTTCAACTTTGATAACACCAAAGTCAAGGATATTCTGACTGGTGAACCGGTTAGTTTTCAATTTCGCTCAGGCGTTTTTATCACCTTTTTTTTTACCAGATCGCCACGTGGTATGAGCCTGGAGAGACTTGGTCTTCGAAATTCGGACCACTTGCGTCGGCTTACGAAGAGTGCCGTGCAGAAGCTGTTGGATACGTTCTGTGCTGTGATTCTGATATTCTCGAGTCAGTATCAACCTCTAATAGTAGTTTTGTAATTATATTTAATTCAGAATCTTCGGATACACTGGAGAGCTTGCTCAAGATGTGAAGTACGTCAACTGGCTCAGTGAGATTCGCGCAGGACTCATGGCCCTCGAATTCTATCAAGCCGACCAGAAGAAGTGGGGACAAGCCCATTGTTACGCTCGCTACGTTCTCACCAAAGTGGTGTTAGAGGCTGGAAAAGAATTCGTGAAGATTGAAGAGACGAAAGGAGAGGATGGAAAGGCTGATCTCCACTTCAAGCTCGATCGCAACTTGATCGATTCTGTCGGTCGTCCAGCTGTCGTTGAATTCCTTCGTAAACTTCAAGCTTACAAATCGACTGGAGATTTTGAGGGTGGAAAGAAGCTCTTCGAGTCCTATGGAGCTGTTGGGGAAACTGAGCTCCACTGGCGTGATGTCTGTATCGCTCGCCGCAAGCCGAGACGTCTTTTTGTGCAGCCAAACACTGTCGAGAAGAGTGGAGGTGATTCTGAAACTTGAAGATTTTTCTAATATTTTTATTCCAGAAGTGTCCTTGGTGACCTACCCATCTGATGCATCTGGTGTCATCAAGTCGTTCGTTGAGCGGTACGACTCGGCTGCAATTGAAGATCTACACGCATGCTGGAAGAACGATCAAAAGTGGTTCTAGATCAATTTTCTCTTTAATTTATTTTTCTTTTATCGGTTTTTAAGCATAAGGTTGTTTGTGATTTTTTCATGATTTTGTTTATAAAATTAGTTTGCTAATTTAAAATCTGTCTTTTTTTTTGTACTACCGAAGGTTTTCAACCAATGATTTTATTTAAATAGCTTTTTCCTTGATTATTAAAATTACCCGTAGATCCAGAATGGACGATTCTATGAACGATGAAGACATACCAAAGGCCAGAATGGTGGGAAAGTATGAAAAAGGTACTTTGAACTTCTGAATGATCAACTCTGTTTCTTTTTTAAAGCTCATAATCGGTCGCTAGTTGGAGTTTGGAGTTTCCGTTTTGGAGGGCAAATCGGAGTGATTTCCGTTTCGCATGAGAATTCGAAGCTCTGGATTTTGTAAGTGTTGAATGAAATTATGATTTTTGATTTTTGAACTTCAGATGTGAGAATCGTGCAGAAGATAGTATATTTTTGGACGAGAAGATGATTCTGACAACGTCACAAACTGCTATACAGTCGGCAGATGTTTCTGTGGATGGACAGTGTAAGTGCTTGAAAAACAGAAAGTATAAGAAAGTACGGTGCTTTTCAGATGTCGTAATGGTCGGACTAAATTCAACAGTTTATGAAGTAGAACTCATTAATTCTGTCAAAACGATGGCTGTGGATTTTGACTATCTCGAAGCGACATTCTGTGCTGTTCAACCTAAAAAGACAGGTTACATCACCGCCGCCTATTCTGGATTCCTTAAGGAGATCAGAAACTGTTCTAAAGAGTTGGTTCGGCAAGAAGCGTTTCCAGGTGTCCGACAGATCAGTTGCTTGAAATTTGTGAGTTTGTTTTAAAAGAAAAGTCTGGAAATTCGGTTTTTTTTTCAGAGTCGTGATGGAAAGTACTTGGCGGTCGGTCAGCTGGATGGTGGAATTGAAATGCTTCATTCGGAGGATTTGAAAAGCTACCATAAATATGAAGGTGATAGATAATTAGAATATGTATTGAATGAAAAAATTGTATTATAATTTCAGTTCACTCAATGAGAATCCGGAAGATTGAGTTCCTACCAGGCGACGAACGATTCTTGAGTGGTTGTGAAGATCGACTGATCAAATTGCATTCGATGAGTGATTTGTAAGATTTTCTGAAAAATTTATGTCTTGCAACTATAATTTCCAGTGCTCATGAAGCAGATCCGACTCGTTCGACGAAAGCGGTGAGAGTTTATTCAGCTCACGATGCCCCTGTAACCGGATTGACGATCGATGAAAAATCTGGAGGAACCAGATTCGCTAGTGCTTCTTCTTCGTCACAGGTATGCAGTATTTTTTCTAATTTGAGCTCACTTATCTCGATTTCTTGGAAATATATCAAAAATTTGTCAACAGATAAATTGTTTATCATACTACCACCAATATTTTATCAGTTGACTAATTTTTGATATCTTTCATGGAAATTGAGATGATTGTGCTTAAAGTTACAATTTGAGTAGGCTTAGATTAGAGAAAAAACGTTAATTGGTTTCTAGATTTTCATCTGGCACATCGAACTGACCACTCCAATCATGTCTATCGTTAACGATCACACTTCTGCAATTGGTGCTATGTCATTCTCGCCAACTAGCCGGCATTTGCTGTCCGGTGGTGATGAAGGAATGTTGCAGATTTTCTATATTCCTGGAGTTGGAGAGGAAAGCCCTCAGCACATGGTTAGGCAGTTCTCTCCCATTTCACACCTCCAATTTTGTTATTTAGGTCTTCTACCCCACAGTTGAGCAGGCAAAAGCGGAGACGGAGCATTTGGAAGATCCCTATTATCAACAGGAAAATGAACCACCAAGTGACTACAGTCAATCAGCAGCTGAAAGTCAACAATACTATACGCAGCAAGGAGAGGAAGCCAGTGATTATCAGCCAGGTAGATCATTCATTATATTGGGATAGGTACACAAATGAATAATATTCAGAAGACTCCTCAACTGCTCAGTATCAAGAGTACAACCCGTACGCAGAACCACGTACTCCACCACAAGAAGAGGAAGATATTGGAGATTATGTTTATAACACCACTGTGCCGGTGGAGCAAAATGGTCTGGAAGTTTCTTCTAGAAAGTAATTAAGAAAATTATTTCAGGAGCATCCCCACAATCAAATGAGTACAATCCAGAAGTATGAGGATCTCCTATTTACTAATTTATTGATGAATTCCTCTCCATACCCATGTTTTTTATTCTTTTCAAATTTGTCTCGTTTCTCAAGAAATCTCATTTTCGAAACACTATCTTCGTATCGACTATTTTATGTCTTTTACCATCAACTGTTATCAATAAATTATCCGATTAATCTCCAATAGGGTTTCCATTTAGGCGGGTTAAGAAGCGGGCTACCCGCTACCCACCCGGGGACTCCACCCGCGGCCGCATTTAAATGCGTGTGAATTTTAATAAAATTTTTAAGGATAATCACGTATTTTCCAAGAAAAACTGAGTGAGCCCCCCGGGTGGGTGCGGGCGGGTGAATCGCCCCCCAAATGGAAACCCTAATCTCCAAGCTATTCTTGATTCCTGTTGACCTTTTATTTTCAGACACTTACTTCAAGCTTCACATGAATATTGTTGTTGGAATAAAAGAACTGTCACTTCGTGTATGATAAGGAAACTCGCCCCGCCCCCCGCAACCGCCGCGTGCCGGAAAGCAACTCTGCCGCACGCTCTACGTTTTCAAATACTTTCGAGTTTCTGCGCTATATTTTTTAAGAAAAAAAGTGAATTTTGAGAACTTGTTGAAATAGAATTATGTCATAAACTATCGATTTCCTGATTTTCCGTAAGAATTGAAAAATTAATTACGAATTTGTAGGATAAAAAATACAGGTTTTCAAGAAAAAACGTTTTGAATCATTATGAAAATTCAGAAAGTGTATGTATTTGACATATTTTTTTTTGAAAAAAAAAGATTCTTGAAGTTCACTTTCATTTTTCTTGGCGCCGATGAGCCTTCTGGCCGAAAATCAGGGATGTTCGGAACGGAATTCAAAATTTTCGAAATTTCCGACTATTTTCGGAATGAAATTCCAACCGGAAGTTTTCCGAATTTTTTTTCGGATTTAGAAATTTTTTGACTACGGTATGTCGCGAAAAAACAGATTGCGGGCAGAATTACTTCCAATTTTTTGCGTTTTTACTGACTTTTCAGAATTTTTTCCTGATTTCTGGTGTTTTGTAATGGAAAAATGGAATTTCTACTTTAACACTTGAATTTTTGAAAATCGGAAAATTCCGAGATTTCGAAATTTTCAAAATCGGAATCTTCCGAAATTCCGAAATTTTTAAAAACGGAATTTTCATTTTGTGTTCATTAAGTTCATAATTAATGAATAAATATTCGAATTTATTCAATTCTTGTCTCAAGATCTCGATAAAAACCTCGAGTAGTTCACAACACGAAAATCAGAAAAGAAAGTTCATGATTCAGTAAAAATATAAATAAAAGAGATTCGCTTGAGATTTCAAAGTGTAATCAGTTGAGAGTTTGGGGAGTTTCGTTGTTCGATGAATACGAAACTGGTGTGCCCTCTACGACCACTGGATACGAAGGTGTTGAGTTAGCAGACACATTCTGTGACTGATTTTGAGGGGCAGCCAGTGGAACAACCGATGGAGAGGAAGACGGTGGCGCTGAGCCGGAGTTAGAGAGCATTTGTGCGAGATCGCTTGCCTGAAACGAGAAAGATTCTAGTGAGAAAAATTTAGAGTTCAAGCATACTGTCAGTTTCTCCTCGTTATAGAGCAGCATGCGATGGAACTCCGTGAGATGCTCCAAAAGTCCCCAGGCACCGAGGAATCGTTGACTGCAGGTGGCGCATTTCAAACGATGACGTGGCTCTTCTGAAAACATCTGTTATTGGACGGAAGACTTCCGAGAAATATCTCACCTGGATCTCTGTATCTATTGCATCCAGCGATTCGATGATCCTTGAATTCTTCGAAATCACTTGTCACGAAACGGCAGTTACCGCATACCATGGTGTCACACATCTCTGAAAAAAAGAAAATATTTGTCTAGAAATCGAATAGCAGACTTATAAACCAGGAGACGAAAATGACCGAGTATAAGGTTACCAATGTAATAGAAATTCTCCGTGACTTTCAAATTTGAGTCAATTTATCTCGGTTCCTGTGAAAGATAGGAAAAAAGTTGGCAACTGATACATTGCTTATCATAATATAAGACGCTTTTTTATCAGTAGACACACTTTTGGTATCTTGTTTAGGAATTGAGAAAATTGAGCTCAAACTTGACCCTGTGGGGCCCTTCTATTAGAGGTTTTACGGTACTAACCATTAGGTGCCAAACTGTCATTGGTTGTTCTGTCTCCGTTGGCAAAGTTCTTGTTGCGCTTGTTCTGCTTGAAAATCTCGTATTCCTCGTCTTCGTACGGACGTTTTCCGCTGAAAAAAAATGTTTCTTACACATTTTCAGAATATCCTATTTTATAATTTTTACATTTTTTTTCAGTTCGCCGAGATCGCTATACTTATGAGCGTATATCACTGAACGCATTAAAAAAATGCGATATCTTTTTTTTGCTTTTGAAAGAAAACACTGAAAAATGAAGCAGAAAATTAAAATTTTCTGCAAAATTCGAAAAATTGAAATTTAAAACCAAAAAGAAAGGAAAAATTGAAAGAACCTTTGCGCGGAAGGATCGGCAACCTGTGCCGCCTTCGCTGGATTTGCTGATGGAAGTGGCGCGACCGGATTTCCATGACGAAGATCGGGTCCTGTTGGCTTCTTAAGTGATCCCAACATGGCCAAATGAACATCTGAAATGGTGGAAAAAATAACATTAAAATATAAATAACGGTAAAAGAAAGAAGTATAAAAATTGAAAACTGGATAAATTAATAATTGAAAGTTTCAATTTGAAACTGGCTTCAAAAAATTCACAAAAACTATACAACTCTCAAAAAAATCGAGAGATTTTGGTGTATATAACCGAATCCTAAATTTTCTGAGTATTCCAAATTTTCAGCCATTTTTCCTTACCCAAGCAGCATGCTTTCCATGTCATTCCGTTGAGTGAACGGCATGATTCATCAGCGCTTGATGCCTCGTTGAATTGAACAAATCCGAAGCCTTGTTGCTGAAAAATTGAGTTCAATGCACAGGATTACTGTAGCTCCAAATACTCACCGCGAAATAATTGACAGCGATGATCTTTCCAAATGGTCGGAACAGCTCGATAATGTCATCACGAGTGATAATGGCTCTAGCAATGTTTCCAATGAAAACGCGAGCTCTGCAACAAGGGATACTGTAGTTTCTCTCTTTTTCCCAATTTGTTATGTTTACTCCATCTTGATGGTCACTTTTTGGGGTCGGCCCTTTTCTTCTGCTTCCAAAATGTTTACTTTCCCACGACCTTTCTTTCTTCCCGCTCTTTTTCTTTTTGAATCTTACCTGATCATATGAGGATCTTTAGAAGATGTATCGTAGCTAATATCGCTGTTCACTGCCGAGCTTCCAACGCTGAAAAATTTTGGAATTGAATATTTAAATTAACGAAAAAAGAAAAGCCATACAGGTTGAGAATTGTGCTGTATGGAGTGCCAGTTCCATCTTCTGAGAACGTTGGTCTTTGTTCTCCGTAAACTGACGTAGCTGGAATCACGGCTGCTGGTGCTGCAGTTAGAGCTGGTGCAGTACCAGCAGCAGCGTAGTATCCGTATTGACTGTAGTCTGAAAAAAAAGAAATTTCAGAATCTTTCTCATGTTTGCAGATATTTTTATTAATAATTCAATCTTCTCTCCTGACTATTAGATATCGAATTTCAATAAAGTTTGCAGAACTAACCTGCACTCATTTCACCAGAATATGTTGCTTCGTTTTTGTTTGACAATTACCAATTGCTGCCTGCAATTATTGAATTGTTTTTACTCGATTGATTTTGTGTGGCAGGTGACAAAGAAGGATAATAAATGTTGGGAAGGACCTATGCTAATACTGTTCTCATGGGATTATTAAATAGTATCGATTGGTGGTGAAACTATGGGTGAACACAAAAAGGCTGGGGCAGTAATAGGGTGTTCAATCATAATACTTGATGGTTGAGTGCATTCTAAATGCAAACGAAACATTTTTGCGGTGTTTTGACCACTTTTACAAAATTTCTTTGAAGAATTCGTTTTCCAAAGAACTGGCTGGAAAAAAATGGAAAAAAAACTCTTTTTTCGGAATAATTTTATCTGCATTTTTCCGTAACTGTGTGCGCAACCATTGCACTAAGCCGCACGACATTTCTACAGATTTGTTTTTTAGACATTTTTTTTCAAGAAAATATTTTCAATATTTCTCTCTTATTTTTCCATCTATATAAAACATCTGGCAAAAGCTTGGTCCATTTGTTTCATCTTCTGACATTTCACAACTCAATTATGCTCTATTCTCTTCTTTCTTTCATCGCTCAAATGACACCACCTGGTGATGATCTTCTTCATCCGTTCTTCGATAAACTTCGTTCGTCTTCTTACACAAAAACGTATGCGGCTCCCCTCGCTCTGAGCATCTCCAACGAGTTCAGTGGTCCTTTGTCCCTTTGTAATAAAAACTTTTTGGATTGGCAGAAGGCGAACTTTATTTTGTTAGGGGCAAAAAAAAAGGAAAAATTTGTGTATTCTTTTTCTTCTTAACTGAAAGTTTTTCATCTAAATTTTCAAATCTCAATACTGAATTACAGAATGAACACATCCAGAAGAAGTCAACACATTCCGCCTACTATCAATCATGAAGCTCTTCTCCCGATGGTAAGAATTTTATAAATGTCTAGATTTATAATTTTAAAAAATTCAGAATCAAAACTCTCCGATCTCAATGCGATACTCAGTATCATGTGCTGGTGGCAAACCGCTAGGAGGAACTATAGGAACATACAGCGCAGTAGGAGGACAAGTTAGTGAGAGTCACCCATCGGTTATGGATTTGCACAATGAACAAAAAACGATGGAGAAAAAAGCGGTGAGCTTGATATCAAATTCTTCAACTGTCACATTGATTCTAGGTTTATTGGAATATGTTAATGCTACTCTTCATGACAATCTGCTCAGCACTATTCACTGTGGCGGCTCTTCAATTTCACTTCTCAAATTCTGAAAAATTTCTACGAAGTGCGAAAGGGTCAGCTACTCCATATAGAGGAGTCATTGATGTGATTCGAGATGTTATTGCTTCGTTCGACGGGGCTATCGTCGTTCTCTCGATCCTCGCCTTTTTTGTGTCGTCTCTTCAGCTACTTTTTATGATGAAAATTTTCAAATCGACACAACCTGGAGATAATGAAGAGTAAGTTTTTATCCTAAATCTAGAATAAATAAATACCAAAAATCCCTACTTTCAGTGCACTTCAATACATCAAATCAACCAGCTTTCTGAGAATCGTCGCCTTCTCATTCTGGTTTGCATCGATCATGATTTTTGTAATTGGTAAGAAGAGATTCAGGAATATTCTCGAAAAAAGTTGCTTTCAGTTCTCATGCTAACAGTCGCCATTGATCCATCACGGAGCTTAGCATCAAAATGTGTCTCCATTACACTGGGATCATCAGCAGTCCTTCTAGCCATTTGCTTCGCCGCCAAAACGCTCTGGTTTTGGGGAAAACTCTCGTATGGACATGTATATCGGGACGACTGCTACAACTATCTGAGCACACTGGTTTAAAACTTCCAAAAAGTTTTTCATTCAATTCCTATACAGCTTGAAAATATTAATTTTTGATTCTTATTCCTACCAGGATCTGACAATAAGTCACTAATAAATCTCAGAAAATATTTACGAATCTACTTTTCTCCAGCAATATAAGCTGGTAATTTTTTAATCTCAGTTTTCAGGACATTGCATGCAAAAAGAAAAAGAAAAAACGATTCATGAAACCTTCCGAAAAAATGTGGGTCGTAATGCCGTTGAGTGCGTCGCGGTCGCGCTGCGTGTCCTTCCAGCTTGGCATCTTCTTTCGAGGAGGAGACCTGTGTTTATATTGATGTCCCAACCATTTCTATTCACATTTTTATTCTGGTGTCCTAGTTTTCGTCTAGTTCTGTTCTTTTTTATCTTTTTCCCTATTTTGGTGAGAAAGGAACTAAAAACCCATCCAAATAAAATTGGATTTGGAATTCCCCTACAGTAATCATTGCATGAGCCATTTCTTTTCTTAATTTAAAAACTTTTTATCGACCGGCTCTTAATAGTCTTATTCCAGGTACTACTAATTAGCGAAGATGGTTGAGCTCGGAGGAAACGGACCATATTCTACATCATTCGACAATTCTGTCTTCATCATTCCAGCGATCGTGATTGTCGCCCTTTTCAGTGAGTGTTTTATATAGTCTCAAAAATAGTTTATTAGAAGCTAGATGTGGCAAAAAAAGGTAGAACGAGTTTACAAAATAGCACAGCAACCGACCACTGCTGTCTTGCGTTCTACTACAACGGGTTGACGTTCAACTACGACAATTTCTTCCTTGACTATGACTTCATTTCGAGTGCTGGGTTTAGGCTTTGTCATTTTAGATGCAGGAGTTTTAGAATCCGCGGTTTTCTGAAAAAATCATATTTTTTTCAAGATTAGAACTCCTATTATACCTGAGCGTCCATTTTTTAATTCCAGAAAAATTAGTTTCAAAAGGAAAACAAAGCAAATTTGAAGATAAATTTTCGTTTTAAAAATTGTATTTTCAGCCTTTGCCGCCCTCAAACTTCGTGATGCCACGCAGGGCAAAGAAAAGAGCGCAGCCCGTGCTCGTCGTGATGAGAAGAAGAAGGCCAAGTAAATTCCAATTCAATCACAACGTCTCCTGATGAACTTCGCCACCGACCGTCCTTCCACATTCCAAAGGCAAGCTCGACAAATCATCCTAAAATTTAATATTCCCTATCGTTTTTTGTACTGGGTTTTTCATAAGTCCTGTGTATTTATTTGGTCTAGTATTTATTGCATTCAAATTTCTAATAAATAGAACATGTAATTAATTTCATATGCGTAGTTTTTTCAAAAGAATCAATAAGCGTGTTTTGCATCTTGCCGTCTCCATGGCAACTGTGTAGGTGGAGAGGGCTGGCGCATTCGAGGCGAGCTGCCTTCTTCGCGCGTGCTTATTTTCAGGCAAAAATGTCTCTGTTTCGTCTTGTTGAATGGGTTTCTCATACAATTCCAAACACTTCTACAGTATTAAACGCATCGTTTTTTCAAGAAAGAGGTTTGTAGAGTTGTACTTGTAAACCAGACTCCTCCATAGTTTCTTTTAGAATCAATTTTTTAATCGTCTGAATAGAACTCGATGAGTACTACAAAGTGATGTTATTTGGAAAGTTGTATCTTGGCTATGAGCAAAGTTATAAGCCATAAAGTTGTTGAACCGTTACCAGCTGTTTTATTTTCGGTTTGTTCTGTCTATAACTTCGTACATGGACTAAATACAATTTTCCAAGTAGTATCATTTTATAGCACTTATCAAGTTCTATCATATTCAGTTTAATTGGTACAGAAATATTAACTTTGAAAGTAACTATGGAGGTTTCATAATTCTTCTTCTAGACCAATTAATTGTTGGTGGAGAAGATGGACAGATTCAGATTATGGATCCGGGATTTCGGGAGAATAGTGTAAGTTTTTAAATTTGAAGACAGAACGAATCCTGAAACTTTTAGAATCATGTCCTCGTTACTGCTGAAACCAAATACCCCATTCTCGAAATGGCATCTGATAACTTTTTGCCATCCATGGAGAACATTTTAGCTGTTTTATCCCCGACGAAATTAACATATTATGGTGTGAATTTTGGTAAGATTTGGGACATCCGTTGGGTAACAGTATCTTTCTGGTACAAAAATATTGAGGGAAACTGCACGAAAATCGAGAAAATCAATCCAGAAAAATTGCTTTTTTCTTCGATTTTTTGCAAAAATTTTAGACCTTTTTAGGTTTTTTCAGTTATTTTCAAAGGTTCTTTTTCGATTTTCCAGAACTTTTTCTTCTGAAATTTGATGGAACCGTGTTTGATTACTGTAGATTACTGTATGTAGTTACTGTAGAAACCTAATTTCGTTTTTTAGTTTTTTTCTGCAAATGCAATCACGTCGAAATGGAGATAAAAACTTTTTTTGTTTGCAAAAAAACAAAAAGGAAATAAGTCTTCTACAGTAATCTACAGTATCCTACAGTAATCAAACACCGTTCTATCAAATTTCAGACAAAAAAATTCTGAAAATTGAAAAAGAATCTTCAAAAATACCTGAAAACCCAAAAAAGGTCTAAAAATGTTGCAAAAAATCGGAGAAAAAACTATTTTTCCTGGATTTATTTTCCCGATGTTTGTCCATTTGTTGGCAGTTTGAACAATTAAATTTATCACACTATCAGAAACTTTGATTTTAATACTTTTTTGGTTGAAAATATTTAACAGAAACCTGAACGAAAAACAATGAGAAACAAGAAAATAAATCCGGAAATGAAAATATTGTTAGCTTACTGTAGATGTGTGAGATTCGGCCACCGACGATTCTCTTCCACAGCTTCGATTTTTTTGTCTGATTTTTTTTGTTGAATCGTTTGACAAGACTATTGCTTCTTTTTTATGTGTGTTTAAAATGTCCAAGGTTTGGAGTAACAGAAAATTTGTTTATAAAACAATTTCCGAAATGTTTTGTAGGAAATATGAAGCTATCGGAGTAAAGTCACTTTTAATTAAACGCTATAGCAGAAAGCAACTCTATTCTTGCACTTTCAATTCAAATATCTCAATTTCTATGAGATATCAAAAATGTGTCAGTTGATAAAATGTTTTTCAGAATATCGCAAATCCTTTATCAGTTGACAATTTTTTTTAGCTCGAATACGAACAGAGATAATTGAGCACTGCAAATATAGTGTGGCCTTCTAGTAGAGTTCTATTAGAGTGTTTAGGGTTTCTAATAGAAAAATAACCCTGAAAATTTTAGCTAGTTCCGAAGACACTCATGCATCCCTTGATGAAATTTTCTCCCACTCCTTCACAACTTCTGCTTGGAACATGTGCGTCATTCCGATCGAAGATTCGCCTTCTCAAATTCTGGTTCAATCAATCGACTGTAAACTTTCCCTGTTTCAAGGCGACCAATGCGTATTCTCTCTCGTCCCACTCAGAGCTCTTCAACCTGGACCAATTGGATATTGTCAATCTACACAGACATTGTTTGTGGCCAATAATGGATTCTTGGCAGCCATCAAGTTCAGTTTGATGTCAAGTGGATCACAGAAAAAGATCAATGTAAGACTACCGTAGTGGCGTATAAACGAGACATCTAGATATACAGAAAACAGATTTTTTAGACCATCACTACAAATTTGACTAAAATTTGACTAAATTGTGAAAACTATAGCAATTGAGGTATTTTTTCAAGAAATTCAAAACGAGCATAAACATGACCTAATTTTCGAGTTGTTCCTTGCACCTTTAAATTACTGTAGCTTTCTCTGAAATTGGAGGTTTATTTATATTCAATTTTAGGCTCTTAACTAGGTTATTTGATTGGCATTGGTTTCATTGAATGTGGACTAGAACTAGAGGAGTTATGGCTCAAAATTGTTTCCGCCTCTGAGCCGGCAGAGAGCCGCCAAACGTCTGTTTTTAATTAGGAATCATTCCTAGGCTGGTTTTAAAAGTTTACTCAACAAGTAATTGTTTTCAATTTTTCCAATTTATTACAGTATGATTGGTCCTTCAACCTTGGAGACACTGCAATAAAAATGGAAGTAACGGAAGGAATGAAACCAACGACGATCATATTGTGTCGTCGCCACGTGTCAGCGTTCAATTCAGCCGGATCTGTGGTCTGGCAAATCAGATTGGAAGCTGTTGGAATGGCAATGTGTCTCTATAAGTCACTACAAATCAGTTAGTTTTTTTTTCAGAATTTTCTACAGACATTTTCAGGCTTTTGTATTTCTGGTTTTACGATAATATTTTCCAGACAACACTCAATTCAACCGATTGATAGTGGCCACTGCAGATGACACTCTTTTGATTTTCAAAGACAATCAATTGATCTGGAATTGTAATTCTCAAATGTCACCAGTTGGTTTGCTCGTGTGTTCTTATAAGTGAGCATCTTATCATTCAAAAAAGAGTACTTTCAAACTTTCAGCAAATCCTATGAAAATGTGATCACAATGCTGGGATCAAACGGGAAAATTGTGATAGGATACCTTGGAACAGAGCCTAGTTTATACAAGGTTCCAGATGACAAGTTGATCATAAACTATGCTGAACGAGCCGAACAGTTTAAGGCTCTTGAGCAGAAGATCAGAGAAACCGATATTGCAGGAGGAGCTGTGAAGAGGAAGGAAGGGATTCAGATGAAATTGAGTATTGGGGAAATGGGGAAACGGACAGTGAGTTTGGGTAATCTCAAAAATAAGATAATTTTGAAACTTCAAAAGCTTGAAATCACATGATTTCAGAATTTCTAAACCTCCAAGTCTATTAATCTTATAATTTTTGAATCTCGGAATCTGGGATTCCAGAAGTTACCTATTCTCTCTAATAGAAGCCCGCACATACTGTCAACTTTGAGCTCAATTATCTCAATTCCTCTGCAAAATATCACAAATGTGTCAACTGACAAAATCTTTCTGAAATTAAATATTATCAGTTGACAAATTTTTGATATCTTTCACAGAAATTGAATAAATGAACTCACAGTTGCTGTTTTGGGTAACTCCTAAACTCTAGAGCCTGAAAATATGAAAAAAATAAGGATTTAATTAGAAGAATATTCCAGATTGAACCAAATGCTGCGAGCAATGCACCATACTGTAATGTGGTCGTGGATTTCTCCGAACTTCATAATGTTTCGAAACTCCACATTAATATTCTATCCGAGTGTGCATGTCCATCAAATCAAGTTCTTCTGAATGTTGGAAGTTCTCGTATGTGTTCCTTTTAAAAATATTAGTCGGTTTGCGCCCCGCCGTAATCTTTTAAAAAGGTTTTGTCACTTTTACAAGGACTTTTTTGGACTAGCGTTCTCGGCCTACGGCCGACTCCGCTAGACGCGGCTATGCCGCGCAATTAGGTGGAATCAGATGCAGGGCCTTCAGCCCTGGCTCAGTGGAATCAGTTGATTCATATTTTAGTCTGTTCTCCCTTCGCTCGCTCCGCTCGCTCAGGTCGAACAGACCGGACAGGACCTTTGGCCCTGTAACATGTGCCCCAAAACAATTCATTAATTTTTCACTCAAAACCTATTAAAGGTGGGGGGACAGGAGATTTTACGGGGGATTTTTGGGGCCAGAGTATGCATTCTACCGTGACGGTGTACAACGCTTAATGTCACTCTGCGTACAGCTGTCGTCCTCGTCTTTATGTATGCAATCGGGCGACCGCTTTTTCTTTGCCCGTGTAGCTCAGTCGGTAGCGGCGCCGCACCCTCAATCATCGCCCCAACAAGTTCAACTCCTCGAGGGGCATATTTAAACAAAATTTCGAGAACATTATTTTTTTCATGTCCCCCCCCCCCACCTTTAACTCTTTTAATTTTCAAGCAAATCCAGTTTCTTTTTTATTGTAGCTATCAAAATTACGCATCGAATGGGAAAGCC